GCATAATTAATTAGGATCCATTTCTGCACAAGAGGCTTTTGCACATTTTTTTTTCAGGAGAGGCTACTGTGTAGACATATCCCTAGAGTTTAAGGCCAGAAGGAATCATTAGATCATTTAGTCTGGTTTCCTGTGTTTTGCAGGCCTCTTACATGACCCAACCCCAGCACACTAAACCCAACAACCAAAATGAGACCTAAGTATTCCACCTGCGAAGGAATAGACTATTATATGTCAGAGGGAGAGAATAGGAGGGACCAAGGTACCCCAGCATCTGAAGCCCCTGCAGCAGTAGGGTAATAATTAAGTGTGATATACCCAGGTAAATCTGGCAAGTGATCTACATCCACATGTTGATGAAGAAAGCTGACACTTTCTCCCCACCCCACCACGGCCAATCTGTCTGGGGTGGGGGGTGGGGGAGAATTCCTTCCTGCACCTACACATGTGGATTACTTAAGTTTTGGCATTGGAAAAGGTTCAGAAAAGGACAACAAAATAGCTAGGGGTTTGGAACAGGTGCCATATAAAGAGAGATTAAAAAGACCGGGACTTTTCAGCTTAGAAAAGAGGAGACTGGGGAGAAGGGGGGAGGGGGGGAGTGCTGTACAAGCATAAATGGTGTGGAGAAAGTGAATAAGGAAAAGTTATTTACTTGTTCCCATAACATAAGAACTAGGGGTCACCAAATGAAATTAATAGGTAGCAGATATCAAATAAACAAAAGGAAGTATTTTTTCATGCAGTGCACAATCAACCCGTGGAACTCCTTGCCAGAGGAGGTTGTGAAGACCAGGACTTTAACAGGGTTCAAAAAAGAACTAGATACATTCAGAGAAGTTAGGTCCAACAATGGCTATTGGCCAGGATGAGTAAGAATGGTGTCCATGGCCTCTGTTTGTCAGAAGCTGGAAATGGGTGATAGGAGAGGGATTGCTTGATGATTCCCTGTTCTGTTCACTCCCTCAGGGGCATCTGGTATTGGCCACTGTTGGAAGACAGGATACTGGATAGATGGACCTTTGGTCTGACCCAGTATGGCCGTTCTTATATTAAGTCTTAAACCCTGAGCATGAGAGCAAGAACCAGCCAGCCCAGCACCTGGGAGAGACAATGCCCAGTGTCATTGAAGAGATCTGGCCCCATCCAGTGTCCCATCCCCAGCCATGATCATTCCTGATAGTTCTGAGGGAAAGTATACAATAGTGATGGTGCATTGTGGGAGGAGGGAGACTCCTTTCCTGATCTCTGTCAATGCTCAGCTGAAACTCTAATATAAGCTGTAGAGCTTAAACAGGAAGTGAGCCCTGTCCCCTACCATCACAAGCAATCCCAGTCATACAATCACACTCATACATTTGTCCAGCTCGCTTTTAAAACTAAGTTGTTTCCCCCTCAAATTCCTACTGGAAGCCTGTTCCGGAGCCTCGCCCCTCTGATGGTTCAAAACATTTCTTCTAGTTTCCAGACTGTATGTATTTGCTTGTTCCTGAACCAACATTACCCTTTAGCTTACATGGCTATTCACGCTCCATGGTATTCACCTCCCTGATATAGTTTTAGAGAACAATCATATCCCCTCTCAGCCTTCTTTTTGCCAAACAACACAAGCCAAGCTCTTCCAGGTGCTCCATTTCCCTGATCATCACGATAGCTCTTTGTACCTGTTTCAGTTTACAGTTATGTTCCTGAACATGGTTGACCACAACTAGGCACAGTATCTCACAGGAGGTCTTACCAATGCTCTAGACAATGACAATAATCAGGCCTATATGAAGGAATTTCTGAGGGAGAGGTCTGCTTTTTTTGTAAATGCAGACCACAATTTTTTTAAATATAAAGGAGTTCATAATAGTCATGCAAGGTGCTTGTCAAAGGCTATGTCTACACAGCAGTGTTATTTCCGAATAACATCAGTTATTCCAAAATAACATGGTGTGCATCTGCTCAGCAAGCCGTTATTTTGAAATAAATTCAAAATAACTGGCTTCTTACTCTGACTCCTATAATGCTCATTGTATGAAGAGTAAAGGAATTTGGGGAAAAAGTGCTCAATTTTGAAATAACTGCTGTGCCGACAGTGCCAAAAGTTGAAATAAGCTATTTCCACTTAAGCTATGCAATTAGCGTAGCTGAAGTTTCGTAGCTTATTTCGAGTTTAGGCCTGCTGTGTGGATGTGCCCTAAGAGAGGTTAATGAAAAATGTGAGTGGAAACTGATTGGTAAAATGATTTTTTTATAACATACTAAAAATGTATACTGTAATAAAAGTTTTATAGAAATTACCTTCTGGGAACTTGCTGTAATACCACTGAATTAATGCTGAAAAATAATATTCCAAAATATTCCAGTCTTTGTCTTCAGAGTTTTTCAGTTAAGACTATATGGCTAGTAGTAGTGAAATAGACTTTAGGTAACAGCAAACTTTTCTTCACGACAGTAAGTTTACAGCCATGTCTAAGACATATTCATAGTGGCTGTGTCTACATTGGCTCCGAGTATTTGTGCAAGAACATTGACGTTGTAATGTACAAAATCAGTGCTTCTTGCGCAAATACTCTGACGCTCCCGCTCAGGGATAAGCCCACTTGCGCAAGCATTCTTGCGCGAGAGGCCAGTGTAGACAGCAACGTTAATTTCTTGCGCAAGAAAGCCCGATGGCTAAATGGCCATCAGAGCTTTCTTGCACAAGAGAGCGTCTACACTGGCACAGATGCTTTCCCAGTGTAGACGCTCTTTTGCGCAAATACTTTTAACGGAAAGACTCTTCCATTAAAAGTATTTGCACAAAATATTGCCAGTGTAGACACAGCCAGTTAGTTTCCATCTTTGAGGAGAGTTTGAAGCTCCCGTCTTCTAGGGAATTTCAAGGCAAAGATATCCACCACTTCATCCAAGTCCACTTTGGCGGCATAGTGGAAGTGCATCTAAAGGGTATGAAGTGGGGTACAGGATCCGGAGGGACAGGTGGACAAAGGAGTGTGTAGAGAGCAAGCAGGAAAGCAGGATTGTTCAGGGACACAGGGATAATCTGTGGAGGGTGGGGTATGAACCTGTACTGTAGGGAATATGAGTTGGCCTTCTGGGAAGGGGACGAGGGGACCGCAGGCATGGGAGGGTTGGTTTGTGCACATGGAGAAACCAGGTTGAGATGGGCAGGGAAATGAAGCAGAGTTTAGGAGAACTCTGCAATGCAAAGCGCAGGGAGCTCAGCACCATGGGGCTCTCTGCCCCCATCCTGCACCCTGCTTCCTCTGGGGGCAGCTAACTCTGCGCTTCCTCCGCCCCACCCGCTGCTGCTCATGGTACAGGAAAGGAAGCCAGACTGGGTAGGGCTGGGGGCTGAGCCAAAGGGGTCGGAGCTGTGCGAGGGAGCCGCTGCCTGGGAGGGCTCGGCAGTGTTCCAAGGCAGCAGTGCCTGGGCGCTGAATGGGTGTCTGCCCCAGGCCAGCAAAGCAAGGACGCCCTTTCCACACCACCCTCCCTGGGAAGCCCTGTGCTCCCCACTTCCTCCCTCCCCCAACT